GAAAATGTTTGTTAACAATTCTGTCTGATGTAAGAACAATACTTTTTAATGTGAAAATGTGTGTTAACAATTCTGTCTGATGTAAGAACAATACTTTTTAATGTGAAAATGTGTGTTAACAATTCTGTCTGATGTAAGAACAATACTTTTTAATGTGAAACGTGTAGTTACTTGCTGGGAAGTGATTATTAAGTCTAAGAACTCCTCGTGCATAAATTATCAGATCACTTTGTGATTTTGGACATTAAATTTTGGTACGACTGTCATGTGGTGTTTTCATTCGGACTTTTGTATTTTAGGATTGTCTTAAATGAACTGTTGGTCATGGTAGACGTTTATTTAAATATACTTGGTATTTTATTCACAAGTGTATGCTAATCATTAAATGATATTAACAGTCTTAAACTTTTTATTTTTAAAACCTGTATAAAGTTCTTGAAGCAGTTTTTGGTGAGACTGTTGCATTAATTTTTAGAGCTGAGACATTGTACTCCAAATATAAATATGATATTCCAACCAGCAGCTGGTAAGTTCTGGGTACAGTAATGTCACATCAACAGTTCTTTCTTTCAAAATCTTGTCTAACATTTAGGACGTTCACGAGATCAAGACTGGAACTGATTGGCAAGATGCTTTGAACCACGCCGTTAGAAACTGCTCTGTTTTTGTACCTCTGATAACATCGATGTACGGAAAAACCCAGTGGACTAACAGAGAGGTAGATATTTAACTCTGACATCTATATAACCTAGCTTTATTGTACCTCAAGTTTGAACTGTTGACTAGTAAGATCCTATCCAAATCTGTATCTTATTGTACCTCAAGTGTTAACTGTTGACTAGTAAGATCCCATCCAAATCTGTATCTTATTGTTGTACCTCAAGTTTGAACTGTTGACTAGTAAGATCCTATCCAAATCTCTATCTTATTGTACCTCAAGTTTGAACTGTTGACTAGTAAGATCCTATCCAAATCTGTATCTTATTGTTGTACCTCAAGTTTGAACTGTTGACTTGTAAGATCCTATCCAAATCTGTATCTTATTGTACCTCAAGTTTGAACTGTTGACTAGTAAGATCCTATCCAAATCTGTATCTTATTGTACCTCAAGTTTGAATTGTCTGGTGACTACCAGAACCTCATTGAAACTAATATTTTGTGTTGTTTTCTAGATCCAAGAAACTGTTTGTTATTGGTTTTTTCTAATATTAATATATTAGTGTTAGAATTTGTGATATCCCATTAAAGAGCAACAAAAATTAACGTGTTCAGTTTTATCTGTATCTTTTATAAATTGTCATGTGTTTCCAAAAATGTTATTCTAAAAAAGACTCATAAAAGACCTACTTGTATTAACAGAAAAAAAGATACATTCTATTTATATTCCATATTGTTTAAGTTAATGCAAAAGGGTCTGCGTGAGGTATATATGACATTTTTTTCTTTGGTTGTATACCCTTCTAATAGTTTTAATTCATGCTAAAAACCCAGAATGTGAGTGGACTTGAAAATATGAGTAGTCAAAACACAGAAAGGGTTTCATAAAAACACATTTTTCATCCTTAGATAAAATTAGCAGATATGTTGAGGAAGGTTATTATTCCAGTAAACTTTGTGGACACTTGGCCTCCTGAATGTCTTGCTATCCAGTTTGCCACAACCCAGTATATTCCATGGAAAGCTCCAGAAAATGCACATGGTGAGACTTTATACATATAGTTAGATTAACACGTAACTGTTTAGAGCATAGGAAAACTTGTAACCAAAAGTTTTGAAAGCAAAAGGAACTTTGTAGAGTTAGAAAATGTAGCCATAAGTTTTGAATGTTAAACTGTGTACAGTTAAAACCAGCTGTTACAAGATGTAGCCATTAGTTTTGAAAGTTAAACTATGTACTGTTAAAACCAGCTGTTAGAAGATGTAGCCTTAAGTTTTGAAAGTTAAACTGTGTACAGTTAAAACCAGCTGTTAGAAGATGTAGCCATAAGTTTTGAAAGTTAAACTGTGTACAATTAAAACCAGCTGTTAGAAGATGTAGCCATAAGTTTTGAAAGTTAAACTGTGTACAGTTATTCAATAACTGATGTCAGTTTAATCTTCTTTTTTTTTCCAAGATACTTTAGAAAACTGACAAATGGGGATAAAATTTAATTGAAATGTTAATTATCAATCTTTGTTTGTAAAATATTTTGATCGTTGAAAGCAGTAACATGCTATTTTGGGCCAAGAGGGAAAGCGTAGACATGCTTTAGTTAAGACAAGAGCATCATATTTTCCTTTCTCTGCTCTAGAGGCATGTATTGTATTTGTGTGTTTTATGAGCTTGATCCCACACTGTAGAGCTTTTTTATTACTCTGTGTAATTTCATGTGTAGTACAAACTGTATAACTCAGAAATATCTTTGTAAATTAATTTTATCCCAGTGAAATAATTATGTGGATGTCACTTATGGTAGCCGTAATTATTTTAATATTAGTATATATTAATTGTTAACTTCTAATTCTAGTTACCACCAGTAGATGTCACTTGTGGTGGCCGTAATAATTTTAATATTAGTATTTATTAATTGTTGACTTTTAATTCTAGTTACCACCAGTAGATGTCACTTGGGGTGTCCGTAATAATTTTAATATTAGTATTTATTAATTGTTGACTTCTAATTCTAGTTACCACCAGTAGATGTCACTTGTGGTGGCCGTAATAATTTTAATATTAGTATTTATTAATTGTTGACTTCTAATTCTAGTTACCACCAGTAGATGTCACTTGGGGTGTCCCTAATAATTTTAATATTAGTATTTATTAATTGTTGACTTCTAATTCTAGTTACCACCAGTAGATGTCACTTGGGGTGTCCGTAATAATTTTTAATATTAGTATTTATTAATTGTTGACTTCTAATTCTAGTTACCACCAGTAGATGTCACTTGTGGTGGCCGTATAATATCCGAGTGAAATAATTATAATTATTTACTCCTCTGAACTTTTTTGTATGATCAAACTGTCTGAAGTTTTTCAACTCTCATTATTTTTAACTTAAAACTGTACTTAGAAAATCATAACACGTGTTTTGTTGTTTATGCCATTAAAGACATTTTAACACAAGCCACATGTTGAATTGTAGATGAGGTTTTTTCTTTCTTCATTCTTCGTAGTTGTAGGTGAACATTTATTCTGAATTCTTTGGAAACTCAACATCTTTTCCTACAATAAACAACTGATATATCGTTCATTTAAGACGGTTCACAAGGTTAGTGGATCAAATTACTATTCCTCTTTCAGAAAAGGGTGAACTGGAGTCAAAATCGAGTATTTCAAAAAGCTGGGATGATACAAACATGAAACGAGTATCAAGAGAAATAGCAGAGCACTGCAAGACGATTTTAAAAATACGAGTGAGACGGAGAATTTCTTCAAAATCAAAAAAAGTATAACGTTTATATTGTGTTGTTAATTCTTAGCAGTCGGATATTATTATTTTGTTGTTTAATAGTACTCCTCTAACTGCTTTAAATGGGTGTTATAAAAATTGCACGTTTTGTGTTAATTCAGGATTACAGAAGTATGTTTAATTTGTAACTTATGTGACACGCATTCCACGATGGACAGGGAACAATCAAATTTGGGCTTAGAACCAGTGAATAAATGTGTTGATATAGCTTAATACATAAAATGTGATAAACAGAGGACCAGGATCCAGAGAATGAATGTGTTGATATAGCTTAATACATAAAATGTGATAAACAGAGGACCAGGATCCAGAGAATGAATGTGTTGATATAGCTTAATACATAAAATGTGATAAACAGAGAGGACCAGGATCGAGAGAATAAATGTTTTGATATAGCTTAATACATAAAATGTGATAAACAGAGAGGACCAGGATCCAGAGAATAAATGTGTTGATGTAGCTTAATACATAAAATGTGATAAAAAGAGAGGACCAGGATCGAGAGAATGAATGTGTTGATATAGCTTAATACATAAAATGTGATAAACAGAGAGGACCAGGATCGAGAGAATAAATGTGTTGATATAGCTTAATACATAAAATGTGATAAACAGAGAGGATCAGGATCGAGAGAATAAATGTGTTGATATAGCTTAATACATAAAATGTGATAAACAGAGAGGACCAGAATCCAGAGAATAAATGTGTCGGTATAGATTAATACATAAAATGTGATAAACAGAGAGGACCAGGATCCAGAGAATAAATGTGTTGATATAGATAATACATAAAATATGATAAACAGAGAGGACCAGGATCCAGAGAATAAATGTGTCAGTATAGATTAATCAAAATAGATGAATAGTAGGGGACAACCTAGGAACAGATATAGACTCAGAGAATATATATTTATATAGAGTGAACAGAATGTCAATTTATCTCTTTTTGACTACTTCTACATATTTAAACTGTTTATCTAATTCTAAGATAATCTTTAAATGGAGTTTTTAAATTTCAAAAAGATATTTTTATAATCTTCTTGTAAGAATAATATATAACGCATTAAACAAATCAGTAATGTATATTTTTTTAAGAGACCTGTCTCTACCCCGGTGACAAGTTCTATTGATGAATTTCCTAGCACACAGTTAAGTTCTATCAGTGAAAGTCCCGAAAAGAAGAACAGGCAGTTTGTTGTGATCTGTGTTCATCCCAAGCAAAAGAGTATAGTAAGAATCGATTTGTTCAATTCATACTTAATTCTTGTAGTCACAACACTTTGTCATGTTTTGTTGAGAACGTGAAAGGTACAGATAACTTAATTCTTGTAGCCACGACACTTTGTCATGTTTTGTTGAAAACGTGAAAGGTACAGACAACTTAATTCTTGTAGTCATGACACTTTGTCATGTTTTGTTGAGAACGTGAAAGGTACAGACAACTTAATTCTTGTAGTCAGACACTTTGTCATGTTTTGTTGAGAACGTGAAAGGTACAGACAACATTCTGTTTTTTGTCGAGAACGAGAAAGTTAAGGACAACATGCAAAGGATGTCATAACAACTACATAATAACTATAAGTAGGCTTTGTTTTAAAGTTGAGAACAACATGCAAAGAATGTCATAACAACTACATAATAACTAAGTAGGCTTTGTTTTAAAGTTGAGAACAACATGCAAAGAATGTCATAACAACTACATAATAACTAAGTAGGCTTTGTTTTAAAGTTGAAGACAACATGCAAAGAATGTCATAACAACTACATAACTATAAGTTGGCTTTGTTTTAAAGTTGAGGACAACATGCAAAGAATGTCGTAACAACTACATAATAACTATAAGTTGGCTTTGTTTTGTATTATAAATGTAAAGTTTTTAAAACTATAATACGTGTTTTTTATTTATTTTTTGTTAGAAAAGAAATTTGATTGTAGGAAATGGTCAGAAGGTGTATTAATGAACATTTTTCTTAGAAGGATGTTTTTACAAACTTCTTAAATTTGTAACACATTTCACAACTGGAAACTTCACACAAAAAAACAGTTTTAATAACTGTAAATTATACAAGTGAATATTTTTTAATTTCTAGAGATTTTTTTTGTGAAATGGACATGTTAATAGTTACGTTTATAGTTACATAATTTGAACAACATAGTATAAGAATGTTTTGGAAGTCAGTAAATGCTAAAGTTTTAGGCCAATATTTTCAGTTTTTACCTTTGCTTTACGTACAAGTACAGCTACAACTGTCTAGTAGTGTCATTAGTTCCACGAATGAAATTTTCCGATGTTAAGCATTAGGAAGAAAATGAATTTGAATGATTTTGTTTAAAATAAAGGCCCAGGATGTTGTAATTAGACATGTAACATTATCAAATAGGCGGAGCAACTAAGGGCACTGTTTGAAGAGGAAGAGCTAGAAGTTTGGTGTTCCATTGACGGATTAGACCTTGTAGAAGAAACGTTTGAGAGTGATGGGTTTCTTCCATCAACTCCTCAGGATCTAATACCAATTCCAGAAGAAAAAATCTCCTCCAGGGATGAGAATTATGTCAACAGAAAAATCTCTGGTTCTTCTTCTCAGACAGAATCTGTTGGTAAAGGTACGTTGTCATCAAAATGAGGTATTGTTAAACTGTAGGCTTGTAAGTCCTTGAATATAAGAGTTTCAGGTTTCTTATTTATTTGATGCCCTTATTAATCCACTTTTAGTTGTTTTTCAAGTATTCTTTACACAGCTAGATAACTTGTCATCTTGATCTGTAGAATGTTGTGGTAATGGCTACTATATGACCATTTTATTTTGAAGTGTAATATCATAAGCTACTTTACTTTGTTTAATATGAACGTGAATTGGTTCTCGTGATTAAAATATTTGTTTAAAAAGATTTTTTTAAACCAAATAAATAACTTTTTATTAGTTGACAGAAAGATGAAATGCAGGATAATTTACTACATGTTGTTAATTTAAAACCAAAATCAAGTTATTTCCAGCACACCGTATATTCTTTGTGTAGAATTTTGAAGAGCCAAAGCTTTTGTCTTGCATTGTTCAGTGTACATTTTCTCAAGAAAAAACCCTGATCTGATGGATTGTCGTATTGTTTTAGGAAGGGTTCCTCTGTTCCGGGTAATGTCCAACATGGTTGATATTAGTCCAAGCTGCTTTGTCTCTCCAGAAAGGGTGGAGTGGTTGAAGACATTTCAACAGAAGGTTGACCAAAGTGGTGTTGTAGTAGTAGTGGTGTCTGAAGATTATACCAAGTCAAGGATATCTCAGCAGCAGGTATATTTAGAAAGATATTGGTTCATGAAGACAATAGATATTTCAATGGAAGGGCATGTTTAAGAGATTATTGCATTGAATCTAACTAATATTGTTTTGCCATGATTGAAAAATTACTCTTCTGCGTATTCGAGAGTCAAAGCACGAGTACCACAATCTTTTCACAGAGTTACATTCAGACTTTAATGAAACTTTATTATCAGTGTTAATAAGCTGGGTATCAAAAGGACATGTCTGAACTCTGAATTGCCAATTTAATATTTTATTTTTACTCTTATATGACCTTCTGAGTGTCCATCTAATTATAAACAAACAGTATGAATATTGACAAGCCAGAATATAAACTTAGAACCTTCACTCTTTTCACTTTACTGAGATATAAGTAGTGTCAAGCCTATAAGAAATGCCATTCCCTTTAAATTAATTCACCTTTTAAAATATTCCTTGTATGGTTGTTTCATCTTGCCTTCCGTAGATGTATATTTAGCCTTAGTTTTATTGTTTGCAATTATTTGTTGTTGTTTTTTTTGCTCTGAGCAGCTAATGTAATTATTTTAACCTAGTTAAAAAAGCCAGTTAAATTATAATAGTTTTGGGACATTCTGTTCTAATACCAGTTATATTTTTTTGTGTTTAAAATACACATTTGAAAGGAACATTAATGAGTCTGTGGAGAATAAAAATAGTAGGGGAAAAAAAACTACGTTCTCAAGTAGAAATTACTGATGTAGGCTTCAGTTGTAATATAGATTTAAAATTTCTTGATATCTATCTATCTATATATATATATATATATATTAAACAAAAGTAACTGAAGTGTACAAATTATAAACTTGTTAGTTTAGATAATCAAAATACAAAAAATATATAATAATAGTTTATAAAATGTCATGCGATTGTAACCTGATAGGTCATTTACATTAAATTCTCCCACATACTAAGATAAGGTATAAAGGACCATCGTAAAGTAATAAAATTAAAACAAGTAGCTGAAGCTGTTATTGTAATTGTGTTAAAATCTGCAGTCATTTTGGAAACGAAGGGCCCGGCATGGCCAGGTGGATAAGGCGCTCGACTCGCAATCTGAGGGTCGCGGGTTCGAATCCCCGTCACACCAAACATGCTC